ACGGGGATATTTATCAACAGTTCCAGAGACTGGCCCTGGCAGGCAGGTCTGCTGTGTAACTCAGAGCAGAATGGGTGCCTGAGCTCTGAGCTGAGTCCTCCTGCTGGTAACTGGGAGGTGTGGGGGCACACCCATCTGTGTTAACGAGCCGGCAGAGAAATGCCAGCTGGTGGCACCGAGTCACCATGTCCCTGCAGCCTGTGTGGTGGAAATGGCCACTCTCTGTTTTATGTTTTTAATGAGCTTGCCCAAGAACATTCTGTGTTTGGAGATTTTCTTTTTTCTTTCTTTTTTTTTGTCATCCACCTAAAAATCCTCCAAGCTGTTGTCCCGACCTCACTATGATGCTGAGACCAGAAACACAGGTCTGTGGAGCCTGTTGAAACCTCTGTCACTAAAAACCTATATTCGCTCTGAAGGTCAGCGGTGCGGGTGGGGGTGGGGGTGGGGCGGCAGCAGCAGAAGAGCCGATGGCAAGATCTATGTGGAATCTTTGGAGAAATGGTGCTTCAAGCTATTTCTAGGCCAACCTTCTCGGCCAGGCGGGGACAGTACAGAAAACCATGCCAAGTGAGAGAGGTTCTGCTCCTTTGCTACAGAGAGGCAGCCCCAAGGAGCAATCTTCCACCACCTCCCACACACACCCTGCCCTGCGTAGCCAGGGGGCAGGGCAGGGCAGGGGATGCTTGGGATCCGGTAACCTTGGGGTGGAAACCCAGCCCACTCCTCTAACTAACTCATCAGGAGATCGGATGAACAGTTGACTTCACCTCCGACTCTCAGCTCCTGTTCCAGCTGCCTGGCATATCACAGACCTGAAGCAGAGCTTGTCCCTGTTGACTGGCTCCTCTCCACTGTTGGGGAGGAAGATGATAATATGCCTTGCCGGCAACCATCTTGAGAACTGAATGAATGGCAAGCCTGTCAACCGATGGGCCTTCCCATTCACCATCTGGAAAGCATGTCTCTTGTGGCCTCATCCAGAAGCATCTCATCATTATGATCAAGAGACGAAAGGGGCTTTCAGCACTGGCGGGTGGGCCCCCTCTGTGAACAAGGCCTGGGCATCCTTCACCCACTGAGGACTGTCCCCACAGGCCACCAAGGACTGTGAGGAGGGCTGGCCTACCTGGGCCCTGTCCCCACAAAAGGCTGGTGGCCTCCAGGAAGTTCGAGTTGCCTTTCAGAATCCTTCTTTCCTTGGCCCTGGCCTGCACCTCCTGTCCTCTGGGCCTGCAGTCCCAAGTCTCCACTGCAGGGAGGAGGGAGAAGGGGCCCCTCCAGTGGGTTCCACACCACAGCACATGCCCGTGAGGCAGCAGACGCAGCAGTCTGGCCACTGAGCAGTCAGCTCCTGGTGAGCCAGATCTAGGAAAACTCCCCTTGTGCTAACCCATAATGCGCCCGTGCCCCTGTTGTTGCCACAACCAAGGTTGGGGTGCAGGGGAGACACTGGTCTGGCTCTAGTTCTGCACCAAAGGGCAGTGCTTCTGGTGGGCTTGGGAAAGATGGGAAACTACCTCCATCCTTGTCAGAGACTTGCCTCCCCTTCACAGCACCCTGCAGCAGAGGGCTGCCTTCCCCAACTCCCAACACCCAACCCTCAGGCAGGTAGGTCTCCAGAAGGACATGGCAGCAAGGGTCCACCATCCCTTGAGTGGGTGCCTGCCTGCCTCCCTCTGTTAGGACCTGGGAGGCTTGGCCAGCAAGTCATACTAAATGCACGAGGCCGCCCAAAGGATCTCTCTGATTTCTAAAGTATGAAAGCTTGCCCTGTAAGAATTGATCACAGATGAGTTGTTTCTTGGGTTCTTGCCCTAAAGATGTTTATTCCATTCTCAATCCTAGGGTGACAGGGGAAGTGGGTCCTTTTTCCACCCCCCGGGGAGTGCTGCCTTGCTGCCTGGCAGGTCTCTGGAGCCCTGTGCCTTTGGTCCCCTGCAGGCTGGGTGGTCGGATCTCTGGAAATCCTGGGCAGCCCGGCCAGTCTGGTGAGAAGCATCGGGAACGGGATCGCAGACTTCTTCCGGCTGCCCTACGAGGGGCTGACCCGGGGCCCGGGGGCCTTCGTCAGCGGCGTGTCCCGCGGGACCACATCGTTTGTGAAGCACATCTCCAAAGGTACCTCGCTCCGGCTCCTGTACTAATGCATTCGTTCTCTGCTGCTGGTGTTGTTTCTGTTTATTTACTCACTTCTTTTCAAGGCCGTGTTAAAGTTGTCAATGCATTTGGCCGGCTGGCCTGCAATGGGATGGCGGCTCGGTACCCTAGCTCACATGGCACGGCTTATGTTTTCAGCAGCCCTGCCTGCCTGCAGTGTGTGCGAGACTGCTGCAGACTTCAGTGCTACCCCTCCCACTGGCAAAACGGACTTTTATTCCATGCGAGAAATACAGAAATATTAAAGGTGTTCAGTACTTCTGCTAAACATCAGAAATCCTACCCGGTGTTGCTTCATCCTTTTTTTTTTCCCCCTCCTCTTTTCCATGTAGATACAGTTGTCATAACTTTGGTAAGGATATGGATACATTTTGACATGGAAGCCAACTCGGAGGCATAGCAGCCAACTTTCCCTTAGCACGCCACGTAAACAGTGCCATCTAGTGGCCGGATGGAGCAGCCGGCACAGAGGCTGAGGGCTCTAGGCTGCTGCAGCCAGAGAGCAGGCTGCCCAACTGGGGGTGGGTTTTCATCCGGGTGTTCTCGCTCAGGTTGGCTGCCGCTTGGGAATGAACCCTGTTCTGCTCAGCGGGAGCCAGGGCAAACAGGGCACAGGGCTTTCCCTGATAAAAGGCATCTCACGTAACCAGTGTAACCAGTGGGGCATCTCCATTCTGCGTGGCAGGTGAGAGAAGTTTCTCGCAGGCCTCGAAAGAAGGCTCGTGCTTGATGTGTGAGCGCCCACAGTGCGCAGGCTACTCGGCCAGCCCCAGAGCTTACCCAGTGAGCCAGTGTGGGTCTGGCTATGGACGTGACTTCTGAATCTTTGCAGTTCTGTTGTTCCAACAAGACAACCAGCCCTTGCTCACCAGGCTGACGCCACCGACTGCTCCTCACACGTCCTCTCCCCTCCTGCTCTCAGCACAGCTGTGGGCTTGTGCACCTGAGTGTGGTCTTCTCCGTTCAGCTGCTTGGTAAAGAAACAAAACTGGCATCTGCTGCTCCTTCTTGGAGGTAGATGTCTGGGGGACCCGTGAGCTCATTTGCTAGTTTCACGAGGTACCCACAGAAGCATCTCAGAATGCTTGCTGAGATGCCCACGACAGACTTGCTCAGGGGAAGCAGGACTTTCTTGAACCAGATGCTGAGGTAGTCTGCCCTAGGGAAATCAAGGACCTCTGTGTGGAGTCCCTCTTAAGACCAGGAGGCCAACCCATGTGCTCTGTGCCCTCAGGTACCCTCACATCCATCACCAACCTGGCCACGAGCCTGGCCCGCAACATGGACCGCCTCTCGCTGGATGAGGAGCACTACAACCGGCAGGAGGAGTGGCGGCGGCAGCTCCCCGAAAGCCTGGGCGAGGGGCTGCGACAGGGCTTGTCCCGACTGGGCATCAGCCTGCTTGGTAAGGGGCCGCTGGGGACCTGGAGTTTACACCCTTCCAACAGGCCTGGCCCAGGCTCCAAGGGGATAGGTTTCTCCCGGTGAGGTGCTGGAAACAGGCCTCGGCTTCCTTGCCAACCCTCTGCCTGCCTTTGCCCTGGGCCCGAGCAGCTCTCTGTCTCGGGGGTGGGCTTCAGGGGAGAGAACCATTCCACGAGGGCCCCCAGGAGCGCTGGGTCTGCTGGACAGACAGCACTACACAGCTGTTTGCTTTCTAGCGAGGGAGGGGCACCCCCTCTAGCCCTCTACCCCCCACCCCCGGCAGCCTCTGCTCCCCTTCCTGTCCCAGATCCCAGCGCACTCGCTTTTGTCTGAGAGTGCTGAGCAACATGCAAGTATCAGGGAAACCTCGGTAAGAAGCAGCTTGTCCTGCTGGGGGTTTGCAGGCCCGCCGCCTTCCTGGACCCAGTCTGCCCTGTGCACCGAGAGGGACAGAGCGCTGGGGCGGCTTCCTTATCGCACAAGTGTTTGAAACCAAGTTGCTCTGGGAAAATCTATAAAAAGGACTCTCCAGAGCTGAAATTTCACAGAGCTAGGTTTTCAAGGGTCTTTTTTTGTTTATTTGTTTGCAGAGGAATTTAAAACTGTGTTGCTTGGCAGCCTGCCGCCAAGCATCTGCAGGAGTGTGTGCTCGCAGAGATCAAAGCGGTGCCGAGCGGCTCGGAGCAAAGGTTAAAAAAGATGAGCTCCAAAGGACTTGCCCCCCCTCCAGCCCTCAGTTCTCCACACAGGCCGCAGCCGCAGCCCAGCCGCGCCGGGGCTCTGGGAGGAAGTAGTAAAATGTTACAAGTCCAGGTTAAGTTACTGGAAAGGGTTCCAGTAGGAACATCCAGCGTTGTGGGCACTGTCATTCGAGAATGCTTGGAAATGGGGAGCTCCTGACCCAGGGTGCATCACCCCCGGGCAGCGGTGGCCACCCTGGGGAGGAGAGTGTGTATAGGGGGTGGGCACCACCCTCAGAAACCAGCAGCCCCAGTGCCCGTGCCGAGTCCTTCCTTTGTGACCGTGGACCTGTTCTCTGGGCTTGGGCTTGGAGGTTGCTGCGTGGCTAGCCAGGCCACTATCAGGAGCAGCAGTGGCCGAATGGCAGGCAGTGTTTGGTAAACAGACTCCTTGGGGTGTCTCCTATCCCTGGTGGTTTATGAGGCTCTAGCAGTTGTGGGGATGCAATGCGTCCCTCCCCTGTGTATGCTGATCAGAGCTGCCAACACCAGGGGCCTGACCCACCATCCAGGGACTGCATCCCTAGCCCAGGACGCCTCTGAGGAGCTGGCCCACTTCCGGACTCCTCTGAGGCGTTAGGTCACAGTGGACTCAAGCTTGGTCCAAACCAGCTCCCTTCCCTCCCGGAGAGCATGATGATCTTATCCATGGCTGTGCTGGTGAGTGAGCCTAGGGTGCCCTCCCAGGAATAGCGTTTAAGGTGGCCACCTGTAGTTTAGTGCCAACTGAAATTAGAACCGTTGTCATGCGCTCGTTTGGAATCCGTCCAATTGCTTCCTCTGCAAGCCTGGGCTCCCTGAGTTTGACTTCATTGAGAGAACACTTGACCCTTGGCCAGGCCCCTCCCCATCTGCCGTGTTGTGTGGTCTCCAAGCCTGAGGCATGGCAAAGGGGCCAGGCCTCCCACAGATGATGGACAGAGTTAGGTTCTGGGGCAGGAACAACGATGAAAAATACAACTTTCCTCTGGTTCCTAAAAGCTTCCTCCCCGCTCCCACTATCATGATCCGAATTCTACCTTGCAAGTCTGGCTAGACCAGAGGATGTACACTGGTACAGATAGGAACTGGAAACACAGGGAATCCAGGGCAGATGATCCCTTCAGGACCAGTGGTGTGAGTGGCGATACTGGGAGTGTAGAGGGAGAGTGGGTTGGAAAGAGGGAACCGATTACAAGGAACTATATGTGACCTCCTCCCTAGGGGACGGACAACAGAAAAGTGGGTGAAGGGAGACGTCAGACAGGGCAAGAGACGACAAAATAATTTATAAATTATCAAGGGCTCATGAGAGATGGGGGAGCGGGGAGGGAGGGGGAAAATGAGGACCTAATGCCAGGGGCTTAAGTGGAGAGGAAATGTTTTGAGAATGATGAGGGCAATGAATGTACAAATGCGCTCTACACAATTGATGTGTGTATGGATTGTGATAAGAGTTGTATGAGCCCCTAATAAAACGATAAAAAAAACTAAAACAAAGGTAAAGTAAAAAAGAAGAAAAGGAAACACACACACACAAAAGAAAAGCATCCCCCGTGCGGCTGGGCCTGGTGGGCCTCTTGGCACTGGCCTTGCCCTCCAAGGAGGCACTTGAAACCAGTCCTGGGAGGGGACTCGCCAGTTGGCGGAGAGCATTCAGGATGAGTGTCCCGCCTCTTCTGAATGCAGTGACTTTTAGGGGGAAAATTCTGCTTCGCCTGCAGAATTGGCAGCAGCCTTGCCCACATTTACCAAATCCATTCCTCCAGCATCCACACTCCGGCCTGGAACCCGCCTGGGAGGAAGCACCCTCTGTGTCCCGGTGGTACTCCCATGCTCCCACACACCTCCTCCTGACAACCACAGCAGGGCGCACAGCAGGACGCTCGGGCCAGTGGCTCTTCTGGCCCCTTCTCCCGGCCTCCATCTGGTGTTGCCTTCCCCACACCACACCCCTTCTGTGTCTTCAAGCCACACCAACATCCGCCCTCGGAGTGACAGGAGATCCTGCTCCCACGTAGTACCTACCCCCCCCCCCACTCATGCGCACCCACGTGTGAACACACACACACCTCACCACCACCACCACCTCCCAGGCCTGTTCCCACGTGTTAGGAAATGAAGAGGTCACTGAGGCAGACCCGAGGGCTACCTTCTCAGTGTGTGCACCTTTACCGGGCAGGAAAAGAGCCTGTGGCCGGGGCCATGCACTCTGGGCCACCATTGTCTGAACAGAAGAGTGAACTATAGCGCAGTTACAGTTGCTTTGAGACCTACCCAGAAGGGCCCAAAATAAACCACAGCCTCCTGAAAAGACTTGCCAAGTCCTGGCGGTGCCGCCCCAAAGCAGGCACTTTCAGAGCCAACATGCCACCTGAGACTGGGGAAGATCGTCAGAGAAAGGTGAGGGACGGCCCTTTCTTTTCTTGCTGACTCCCCTCCTCCTAAATTAAAGGGTCCAGACCCCTTCCCCAATTCTGCTTTCCCCAGAGTCCGGTGAAAGCCCCCTGAGGCTCCTGCTCCCCTCGCACCCCCATTTCATCACATCAAAGCCAGCTCCATGTGCCGCCCACCTCGCAGGCGGGATGCCAGCAGACAAGTGTGGGGATCAATTTCCCGCTTGCAAAGGCAGAGCGCCGAGTCTGCCTGTCTGGCAGTAAATAATTGACCAGTTGTAGGAGTTCGCCGGGTTGGACTCCGTACGAGAAAGCTGTAAGTCCTGGGAGAAAGCTCCCCTCAGGTGGCGTTGAAAAGACCATGAACCGCTGCTGGGCTCTCGTGGCCTCTCTGGTGTCTGGGAGGAGGCGCACCTGACACCTGGCAAGCAGCCAGGCCTCGGTGTGTGTGACGAGGCCATGCTCCCCCTCGAGGGCCCAGTGTTGAGCTGAGGCCTTCGATCCGCAGCTCCTCAGACGCACGGCATCTCACACCGTGTCATGGTTCAGGCTCTCCGCTTCTCTCGCCACCCAAGCAATTTATCTGTCAAAGCCACTGGAACAAGAGCCCTCACCTCGGCCAGTGGCGGGAGAACAGGGACGATCAAAAGTGAGCCTTGAGGCAGGTACCTGTTTACAGTTAAGCACATACATGCTGTCCCTAGCCCTTCATGGGCAATCTGGTCAGGGCCAGGTCCCTTGTAGAGGTTAGACCTGGGACACTAGAGAAATGGGAGCTTCCAGGTGAACGAGCCCCTAGAGCGTACTTGTTGGGGAGGCCGGGGGAGGCGGTGCATCACGAGGCTCAGCGGCTGGCCAGCCACCCAGCAGCCGCTCTGCTCTGTGTGGGGGGAGATGAGCCGGTCAGCTTCAGGAAGGGTCACAGCCTTGGAAACCCTGTGGGGCAGTTTGCCTCTGTCCTGTAGGGTCACCTGGAGCCGGAATCGACGAGGGCAATGGGTGCAGGGTTAGAGGACCCTCCACTCCGTCCTTGACTAGATCGCCTCATTGACTGGACCCTCGAGCCTTGAGCACAGACTGAACCATCAGAAAGGTGGAGGGGTTTACTTGTACAGCTGCTGCCCACAAGGTCAGTAGTTCAGAACCACCAGCCGGTCTGGTCTGAGGGAGCAAAATGATGAGGCGTTCTCCTCCCATAAAGACTTCGTCTCAGAAACCCAGAGGGGCATTCGTGTGGTCGTTAGGGTTGCTCTGAATCAGTGTCAACTCGAGGGCAGTGAGTTTGGGTTGTGTTTTTGTTTTGAAGGCACCTTCAAGTTAAGTGTCTAGTTCCATAGTCCACCTCAAGGTAAGACTGAGCAGCTCTCAAGCACAGAAGGAGGGGCCTGCCACAGCTGGAAGTGACAGACGGGATTCCCAAGATTGGCAGGTTTTCCTTGCAGTTTGTAAACCAGCTAAGTGACTAGCTTAGTGGTTGAGTGTAGGCTGTAACTTAGATGCCTTAGACTCAAATCCTGGCTCTTCCATTTAACAGCCTTGGGAGGAAATCCTTGTGACCTTGAGAAATTCCTTAACCTCTCTGTGCCTGTGTCTTTATTTAGAAAAGAAGATAAAACAGTGTCTAGCTCCTAGGATTATGCGTCTTAAATGTTCTGGTGTAAAGCTTAGCGTAGTCGCTGGCACACAGTAATCGCTCCAAACCTATAAAGTACAATAGAGTAAGTCTCACACTGCCAATTGCCTTTTTAATGAGTAGGGCACAGTGAGGTGCTGACCCCTCCCACTTTGTTCCTTTGGGAGAATTCCATGAAGTGGACGAGGAGGCAGGAGCCAAGGCAGACCCTCTCCTTCTAAGGAATTGTTTGGGTCCTCCTTGTGCTGCCGGACAAGTGGAGGAACGTTGACCCTGTGGAAGAGCCTGGTATGGGAGTGAAATTCTGAACTCAACGGCACCGAAGGTGGTAGGCCAGACCCAGTCTGAACATTGTTTTGATGACCATCGTAAATGTCTAACGTAAACAGCCCTTGACATCAAGGGTCAGGTCATTGGCGAATCAATGTAAAGAACTTTCTTATGAGGGCGGGGTTTCATTTTCAATCCAAATCAAGCAGATTGTTTCAGATTGCAGTTTTCCTTTCCTGAGGATTATCCGTCCCTCGTGTGGGGGCTTTTGTTGTTTCAGGGGCAATTGCTGGCATCGTCGATCAGCCAATGCAGAACTTCCAGAAGACATCGGAGACGCAGGCTTCTGCAGGACACAAGGCCAAGGGCGTTATCTCGGGGGTGGGGAAAGGCCTCATGGGGGTGTTCACCAAGCCCATCGGGGGAGCTGCGGAGCTTGTGTCGCAGACAGGCTACGGTGAGCTGGATGGGACAGGGGAGGCGGGTTGGGGCTCCCTATGAGAAGCTGGGCTTGCCCAAGGCAGGTAGAGGGTAGGAGAATAGGACAAACAGTCGCCATCTTTTTCACCTCCTTAGGCTCCCATACACTCGGACTGCATTATGCTACTAATAAAACAGTTGTAGAACAAGGTCAATGGGTAAGTCTAGTGTACGCAAGTTACGGAACGCCTCAGAGAATCTTTGATAGACTGATGAAAAGTAATCCATGAGAGATTGCATGAAGTATGGGGACTATTCTGCAGCCGAGTAAAGATTTCTTTTTCCAGTGAGAAATTAGAAAGGAAAGGCAGGAAGACAGATGCCTTTAAATGAAGAGGCAGGGTGTGTGCACGCAAGTGCACATGTAGGCTGGCAGTTCTGGGAGTGGGGGACTTGGGGCCTGGCACAGGGTCTGCCCCTCTGCCTCCAGGAGCTGGCACGGGCTGGGCCATATGAGAGAGCACCCGCTCCCATGCTTTTGTGCATTCTTAGCAAGAGCCCATTAAAATCACATTAACAAGCACGTGGCTGTAATTGTTACCTTTTTACCTAAAGTAGGCTGTACCATTTTGGTCGTAAAAGCAGACTCTTAGCTGTCACAGCCTACAGGAGGGTCTCCGTGTCAGGCCGGGAGCACACAGCCATCCACATCTGGCCCTACTCTCCCCCCCCAAGAGATCTGACAGGCAGCCAGTCAGGGCAAACAGGGATGAATGCCCATGCAGACCACCACCCAGACAGGCTCCTTTCAGAGACCACCCAGACGTGCACACGTGTTCCTCTTCGCTTGTCCCTGCCCCTGCCAGCCTCCCTCCCATAAGTGACATTTTCACTCCCAGGGAGACTGACGAGAATCGTCCTAGCAAGTCCCAAGTGGGAAAAGCGAAATTCTCATGGATTTCACACATTCATAAAAACCGTATTTCTTCTGATATGGACTCCAGCGAGGTAAAGCCGCCCTGCCCCAGCTCTGCTGCCTGGCCTCCGCCTTGGCCAGCCCTCACCACTCTCCCTTATGTACGAGCATCTCCACATGGTGCTTCACACGGCCTCCTTGCTTTCCATCATTCTTGTAAAACTTTTATGACTGCACTGAAGGTTTTACAAACCACTAACTCTCCGTCTAATGACTGTGCCGTGTTTATAAACATTTACAAGCCCTCAGAAAGCACACGCACTGTACCATCTTTGGTTGTGGAGTGGAGGGGGTAGGGCGGGCTTGTGTGCCTGCTGTGGGTTGCCCTCATTGAGGCTGGCACCAGGGAGAGCGTGTCATAAACCAGAGCCCCCGTGAGGGCTCATAAATGTATACGGCGTCATGTTTAACAGCTGGATTAAGTCACTTAGCGTGTAAATACTGTATCTCGGCAAACGTCATGCCTTTGTGTCTGTGTATGTTGTTTCTCTATTACTGACCAGGCATAGCGTAAGAAGGGGAAAGGGAGACATTTTGGTATTAAGCAAAGAAGTTTTCAAATTCTGAATTTTTTCAAACACATTTTATAGAATATGGTATAAGATACTGTTCTAGACGCATTAGTCTCAGAAGCAAGATGCTTCCTCTAATGGCTAGTTGTTTTAGTCACAGCTAATGTAAGATTGAAAGGGGGGGAATGTAACATTTAATGCAATTAGCTATCTGTGCACTTGTTTCCAAAGATGTGCCATTTTCATCTGTAACATTTTATGGGTGGCTCTTGTGGCACATTGGTTATGAGCTGGGCTGCTAACTGCAAGGTTGGCATTTTGAAACCACCAGCCGCTCTGTGGGAGAAAGACAGGTGTCTACTCACAGGGACAGTTCTATCCTGCCCTGCAAGGGTCGTTGAGTCAGAATCAACTCGATGGCAGCGAGTTTGGTTTTATGGCTTTGTGTTTGGTTTTCTAAGCAGATGACATCACTGTAGCATGGGAATTTCCAGAAAACTAATACAACTCCCTTCTCTTACCACAGGTATTTTACACGGAGCTGGACTTTCTCAGCTTCCCAAACAGCGCTATCAGCCACGTGATCTATACGCTGACCAGGCTCCCAACAGCCATGTCAAATATGTCTGGTAACATGGTTTAGACACTTGTTCAGTTGCAGGGCCACATTGTTTCCTAAGAGGTCCTGGCTTGCTCTCCAGCCTCGCCGCCAGGGGAAGCCTGGAGGAGTGGCCATTTGTTAGCAGCTTGGGCAGCACAAGGGTATCTAGGATCAACCAGAGGCTGCTGGTCCAGTTGGGGGCTCGGGGGGGGGAGGAAGTTGGTGGGGGAGTGCTGCAGAACCCTGCCCATCCTCACTGCCAAACCCAGACCCCACCGGGAATTCTGTGGGGAACCACTGTTCTCGTCACCTTGTTGGCACCAACTCAGCCTTGTCCAACAACATAAATGCACCTAGTCCAACAGCTGTGTCCCAGTTAAGGGTGCTATTTCTAGTGGGAAGGGGCCCAACCTGAGCAGAGGGAGAACTTTGTCCTCCAAAACAGCAGGTTCATTTGGCCAGAATGTATGAGAATTGGAGAGATGGCCTTTCTAGTTAACACTTTAGTATCAGATTAATAAAGGCTCTGTGTGCGTGCGTGTGTGCGTGTGTGGATGCCCTAGGGACAAACAGGAAGCATTGAGAAGGGACGTGTGCTTTCAGAGTTGGCCTCACCCCCCACTCTCCTTTCACAAACAGGAGGATGCTCCAGTCCCTGGGCAGACCAGAAGTCCACATGGCCCTGGATGTGGTTCTGGTGAGGGGCTCCGGCCAGGAGCACGAGGGCTGCCTGCTGCTGACGTCAGAAGTGCTCTTCGTGGTGAGCATCAGTGAGGACACACAGCAACAGGCCTTCCCTGTCACAGAGATTGATTGCACACAGGACAGTGAACAGAAGAACCTGCTGGTCCTGCAGCTCAAGCAGCCGAGGGTGGCCTGTGATGTGGAGGTGCGTTTCAGAAAATGAAGTGGCTGGGGCTGAGTGAGTGAGGCTGAGCCATGGGCTGAGGGGTCCGACTGGGAACTAGGGAGGAAGGAGGGATGGTGCTGAGGGACCACCGCAAAGGGGGTTGGGAAAGTCCCACCTCCTGTGCCTCTGAGCCTCACACAGGAGCCCAGCAGTAAGTCAGGGGGGTGGCGTCAGCCTAGGGCTGGGGACCTGGCTGGTGTGATTGGCTAGGGCTGGGATACAGGGTGGGCAGGACAGCAGAGCTCTACAATGAGCAGGTTGGACAGGGGCATTCAGGATCAACCTGTGAAGCAGGTCTCCTGGTCCACACCTGCACTTAGTACAGCACGTCCCAGTTGAAATGCCGTCAGGTGGCTCTGGAAGCGAACTGCCTGCCCCAGAACTGGGGGCGCTACCTGAAACAAGACTTGGGCAGCAGGGCCAGATCTTCACAAGCTGACAAGCCAGAGGGATTCACTCCTCCCCCAGCCCCAACTCCTGAGACTTCAAGGGTCAAAATGTTGTGACCGAGCCCTGTCCTGCATTCCAGGTGGCCCAGTGCATCATTTCCTAAGACAGCATCTTGGTCCAAAGTTCAAGGATGTGCTGGTTCTTGGCCAAAGACAAGTTGCTGTCAAATAGGTGCTCAGAACTGAGCACTGAGCCTCAGCTCCACCTCTCTTGTTTGCTAACTGGGAAGCGGCCCTTAGCTCCAGCATCCCAGCTAACTCCCGAGCCACGGGACCCCAAGAGTGACAAGCTGGAGTCCTCATGGGGACTGAGTGACCCCAGCAATGACAGCAAAGTTGCATCTAGCAAGTTCTACCTGATTCCCGCTTTTATTATTTTCGCTCCCGTATGGGAGCCTGCATCTCCCTCACCACTGTTTGGGTAAAATTATCTGAGAAGATGGAAGGCAGCCAAGTACAACAATTCAGATCTCTGTTTTCTTGGATCATAATCAGTCGGGCCTTCGGCCGGGGCTTGGCTGGAGGACCACATTGCTGCTTGGAGTTGATGACTTTCTGGGAATAAACAGGTCAGAGTCCAAGCTGATTTTATTGGATCTGCCAACATCTTCTGATCCAGTTGACAATAAAGCAGCAGTGATCTGGCTACAGGATTTGGCAGGGAATGGTATTATCTTCAAGTCTTGAGTCCTTACTGAGAAAGCTCCAAGGCTCTAAGGAGTATCTGTGACCATGATTACTCCTTAGATGCTTGGGGAAATCTCCTATCTTAAACTATTCGGATGGGAGATTCATCTCGTGCTGTAAGGCTCTCATGTCTTTAATCATGAGCCATCTCTCTGACTCTTCTGTCTGAAGTTCCTGTGGAGAATGAATTCTCAAGAGCTGGAGGGAGCAAACGTCAGTTTGTCTAGGGATTACACAGGTGATAGGTGGGGTTACCACTCCCAGAAGTCGCCAAGACTGGAAGTATGACTTCAGTCAGAGCGCTATAGCTCTGGACACCATGCTTGACACAGGTCTCCGCTGTTACCAGAGATAAAGGCAGGTTGGGATCAAGGCATGGAACAAATGAAGCAGAGCCAGTGAGCCTTCGGCCTCTAGGTTGTACTTTCTGTACCTCTCCTCCTCAGTCTCAAGTCCTCCGGACGTCCCGTCCACCCCAAAGCAAGCCCAAACTACAGACAAAATGCTCATTTCTGGTCTGAGACAGGGGAGCCTCCAGGCAGTGAAGTGACCTGTGTTTTATGGGTGAGGAATGGTGCTGCACCCCCCACAGGGAAACCTATCTACCATCTTCAAGGGAAAACTAAGCAGCCTAAGATCATTACATAAATGGCTTCTCTTGTGATTGATTGCATTTGCCTAAGATGCTAGGAAACACAGCTTCTTTGAATTTTGGAAGGGATTAATTTGTAGATGACATCATTCAGTACATTCAAAAGGGCCAGATTCAGGTTTTCTGGTTTTTGTTTTTTTTTAAACCAGCATTTGCTTTTCTTGGTCCAATGCAGCCATTTTTAGGGTACTAATTGCTTAATGTGCCTGGCCCATGATTTAAATCCCTTATGAAAGGCTCAGAGTGAGTCAGGAAGGTCAGTTTATGCCTTGGCCAGGTTCCTTTCACAACATGGGTTTTCCTGCGCTGCCGTTCAGGAGCAGCTAGGCCTGTGCGTGAATTCAGAGTTCTCCCCCGGAGTCCTGACCGCCCCCACGGGAGATCCGCGTTTTCATGTTCCGGGTGGTGCACCGCTTTCATCTGTCAGCGAGTTGTGGGGGGCAGAGTACATGTCCTCTGTGCGATTCTGTGGTCACCCCCTTCACTCTCTTCCCTTCTCACTGGACTCCTGCGGGTTCTTGGGCTAGAGTGTCTGTGCCTGAGACATAGGAATTCTCTGGGGTACTGCTTCAAGAGGTCAAAAAACCTCATTAAAATGCTTATTCTTAAGAATGGTCATGCTTACTAACTCATAGGTAAAAACCACTACAAAGTCAGTGGCCATCCCTGATTCAAACAGGTCAATGGCTCGTTTTGGAAATGCCCCATCCACCCAAGGGACACAAGATAGGGGCAGGATTTGGTGGAGAGGGGGGTTTCACTGCGCTGACTGCCCTTGTCGGGTGCTCTCTCGGAAAGTCCAGCCCCAGAGCAGAGGTAATGTATCTCATTCGAGTTCTACTGATGCGGAGCCAGACTTTGATGAACCATAAATGTACTTTGCATCCTCCCTGCACATAAAACTTTCCTCTTGTTCTGCCCAGTTTTTCTGTTTTCTCTGGCTTTAAATTCTATTTATAAAAACAGAAAATGTATTTATTTTTTGATGCCCTGTCCAGAGCCACTGGTTTGAGACTTGCTCCTCTCCACATTTTTGGCTCAACTGAAGAGGTTCAGGGAAAGATGGACTGACAGAGCTTTAACTATTTACTATCATGAGACATGGTAAAGAGGACAAGCATGCTTCCATGATCCTCGGCGGGTGGAATCGTTAATAAGCAAACATTAAATTACCATCTCAGCCACGAGAACTTCTATATAACATCAAATACTCACCAGAAGCTGTCCTCTGCAGAACGTTCGTTGTACTGTTAAAAATGTCCCTGCTATCATTGCCACATAGGAGGCGAGGTGGGGGGAGGTTGTTTTAAATAACATTTTGATAAAGAAAAAGGCATACTGTGTACATGCATCAAGGCCCAAGAATACTTAAGACTTTGGCACCCAATGGAATCTTTACTTTTGTGTCCCAGGTGGACGGAGTCCGAGAGAGGCTGTCAGAACAGCAGTACGACAGACTTGTGGACTACATCACCAAGGCATCCTGTCACCTGGCTCCCAGCTCCTCGTCTTCCACAGCACCTTGCCCCGTGGTCCCTGTGGAGCCGTTCCCCTCTACTGTCAAAACCTACCACTACTCGGCCGACCCCTGTTTTGTTCAGGTCTTCATCAGTAAATTTACTATGGTGAAAAAGAAAGCCCTGAGGAAAGGCTTCCCCTGAGCCCGCTCTCTGTGTGCTCCTCAAACACAGAGTGCATTCCGTGTTAAGTGTTCACTCCACTCACATGCAGAATGGATCAGGCCTTAGAATGGAAAGCTAGAGTTCAAACCCCATTCCCACCTGTTTGGGGGCAAAGAAACCATCTAATTCTACCAGGGTGCCTGCAAAGGTTTGGCTTTGTCAGATGAAATTAAATGCTGAGACACCGCTGTTTAACTTGTGAAATCTGTTCCATAGCTGATGCTGTTCTTGTCGTGAAAGCTGGTTATCTGAACTCTGAAACCTGCTCTTTCAGAGGTTTACAGAACATTCTTATGGTTGTTCAGGTGCATTTTGGAAAAATTATTGTCTCAATCAGCAAACCAGAGTTAGTAACGACCAGTAAGGAGAGAGCCAGAGTGCTTAGGTGAGTTTCAGGTTCCGTAAAGAAGCCACGACCAGACATGCAGACATGTTAATCCTGCAGGAGCCATCAAGAACTGCAGGATTAACAAGGAGAGCCGTCCGCCACACGGTTTCTTTCCAAATCTTAAGTCACCAGACATCAGCTTAAATGTTTGATGAATATTTCTTATTCCAATAAATTGGAGTGAAGACACCCAGACTTGGGCCTATAACTTGTCACCCGCAACTGTGAGAAGCTAAGAAAATGTTAGTCCAAACACCTACGAGTCTGTAACACTCACGTGTTGCTGAGCTTGAAGTCAGTTTACAGAAAACAAGAATGTTAACAATGTTAATGGTTTCTTCATTAGTTTGCTATGTACATCACTTCAGAAAGTGATTGTTTTGTCAGTCTCAAAAGTAACATAAGTCAATCTTATATTTTTAAGAATGTAAATATTGTATCTTTTATGGTAATTTTCCAAGCTGCTTCTAAGAAGTATTAAATTGTTATTAATTTAAAATAAAGGGTATCCCCAAATTACTGACAATCGTACATACATGTTGATACCTGCCAGGGACTTTACTTTCCCTGTGCAGTTTGTTTGCTGAGACCTGGGGTAACAGAATTTCCATCATTTAAGATTGATAAAAGATTTGTTCTTTCTTAGTGATTAAACTAACTTTGATTTTTTAAGGTCCCAAGACTGCCTGCGAAGTTACCATGTTCTTGTTAGCCATTAGCAAACTCAACTCCAGTTAGATAACTTAGTTTGCCCAGATAAGATACACTGCCTTAATTTCCTGTGCACACCACTAGCTCTTCATTCACTAAAGCAATACTAAGCAGAGAATTTAAATTTTCAATTATCCACCTCATCTGCCCGGTAACAGCAAGGCTACCAATGGCAATGAAGACTAAGGAAAGGGTCCACTGGGAAAGGTGTGTCTGTCCCTCCTAACACAGGCCACTTGCTGTCAGTACTGCTCATTGGGCCCTGTGAACGAACAGCAGGATGAGATACTGACTGATTATGCACCCTCAGTTGTCGAAGCCACAGTGGCAATCCAGGAGTCAGGTTTAGTAATGCCTCAATGAAAAGGACTCCCAAAGATAATGAAGAAATTTTTAAACCACCTTCATAACCACAGTTAAAAATCCACAGCTGGTTCATGCCTGGAATTACCAGTCTTGATAGTAAAGACTTACTACTGCCCAAAGTATTTGTTAATTGTTTTATTTACCACGAGAAACTACTCCTTAGCCCACAGTCATATTTCACACTTCAAGGACATCGGCCAGTGACATTCATGGAATCAATCTGAAGAAATTCTGTGGAGAAAAGCACAATAGTTATTTTAGTTAAGGAACACTCTCTCAATACTGTCACCATTTTTGAGATCACCAGAGGTCAGACCACGAAAACATCACGGGGCTCCTTCTGAAGCGTTAGTGCCTCTAAAAGTGTGATGTTCCTAGTGTCAACCCAGCAATTAAGAGCCTCACTTGAGAAATGCCTATGAACATAAAGTAGATTCAAGTAAAATTTATTACCTTTCCATTCCACAATCACTTTGCACTTTGAAAAATCCCAGCTTTCCTCATCTCCTCAAAATCCTTCATGGAATCATAATTTCTGTAGAAATCTGCATATGCCTTCTTTCTCTGGTCACCAACTGCAAACTAAAAATAACAGAGTTCAGCAGGAGTTGTTTTCGATGGTTGGGAATTGGATGGCTAAATGTTTGTGTTCAGCTTTAGTTTGAACCCTGTACTTCATAGGACAAAGAGGTGACAGGTCCACGGCTGTAAAGAGCCATAAGCCAATGACACCCAAAAGACTAAAAGGTGGTAGGGAGGATGACCTGAGACAGGGGGAAATACTTTGTTCAATTGAAGCCACAATAGGAATTCAAAGAATTCTGAGAAACCCTCTGCCTCTGGAAGGCACAGGCCAGGACTGGTGGTTTACACACCACTGCCAAGCCCTGGCAGCAGGCACAGATCTCTTACAAACGAGGAAACGGACTCAAGTTTAAGCGACTTGACCAAAATCTACGAAGAAACATTAGATGGCAGGTGGCTTGACTAGGATTCAAATGTTTTTTTAAATCATTTTATTGGAGGCTCTTACAGCTCTTATCACCATCCACCTATCCATCCATCGTGTCAAGCACATTTGTACATATGTTGCATATGATGCACAGTGGATTTCAATGTGGTTTATAATCCAAACTCAAATCCCATAGTGCATATAAACACTAGTAAAAATTCTGAATGTGTCAACCCGTCAGTGAAGGTACAGCAAAAATACAGAACCATCTACCTAATTTAGATAATAAAGGTAGCCCTTTCCTTGTTTTACAACACAACTTCTGGAGTCCCAATGCCATCTAATGAAGGGAGGTTTGTTAGGATCCATCACTAAACAATCTGTTAACCTTTTAGTAGAAAAATCAACCACGCTCTGTTTCCACGAGTATGTCCTGCGAAGGCAAAAACCAAACTTGTACCAAAAGCCCTTCTTCCGGTCCCCTCCCGTTCCCCGATGAGAAGTGACAGAAGCAAAACGACCTGCTTTGACGTTCAGACATTTTCTATTTCAGCGCTGCATCTGGCCTGCCTCTGCCTGGCCTCACCAGGTTTCTCAACCTCGTGGATAGGGAGGACCGTACTGCCGGGTGTCTGAACTTTGGATCTGAGACTGAGCAGCACCCACAACCACATAAGCCATTTCCTTAACATGTCCTGAGTTGTGAGCTGCAGCAAACTGCAGAGCCCAAGGATATGAGGGCATAATAAGGGAGGAATGGTAGATGACAGCAAGGACAATGGAGCGGTATAGCATTTTAGAAATTTGGGACATCTCTGGACGAGTCTTTATACTAATCTTTTGAAAAGTTATATACGAGTTAAAAATTTTATAAATAGTTATTCACGAGGAGGTACCCCCCAAAACCCTGATGCTCATTTGTTTTTTTGATGTGAGGGGGAAAGTGTATTTGGAGTTTGTTCCACCAGGTCAGACTGTTAATCAAACTTTCTATTTAGATTTTCTGAAAAGATTGCGTAATAGTGTGCAACCAAAAAGGCCTGATTTGTGACAGACAGGGACTGGTTTTGCCACCACAACAATGCACCTGCTCACACAGCCATCTCTGTGCCGGTTTTGGGCAAAAATTAGCAATCCCTCTTGCCCCATGCACCTTACTCACCTGACCTCGCTCAGTACAACTTCTTTGTTTCCGAGAATGAAGAGGGACATGAAAGGACAGCCTTCTGACCATGTAGAAGAGGTGAAAAAAAACGAGGGAGGTGCTGTCAGATGAGCTTGAAATATGTTTCCAAGAATGGAATCGCAGATTTGACAAATGTATTCAGTGTCATGGCAAGTGCTTTGAAGGTGATCTGGTTGTTTTGTAAAAAAATTTAAATGCATAGCTTTGGGGGAAAAGTTGTTTTTCGGGGGTCCCTCCTCAAGTATATGAGGTTCTTTTGGGTAAGTATTGGGACTGCTAACTACAAGGCCCGTGGTTTGAAGCCACTAGACAGCCTAGGAACAAAGGTGAGGCTTGCTGGTCCCTTTGGGATGACAGACTTGGAAACCCTGTACAAGATCCCTAGGAGTCAAAATTCACTAGAGGCCAGTTGCGTTTGTTTTTGATTTTGAGGAGGTGGTGGTGTTCCTGTCAGAACCCCGTTTTAATTCCCCCACAGAATCCCACATTTTGGCTTTCATGGATTTTAGGGGTGACCTATCCATTAGCCATACGCGTCAACTGAACCTGGAGTCTTGAAGAACCAATGTCTCCTAAAAGTTGCCTTTAAGTCAAACAATGGTCTAGTTAAACTAGTGAGAAAAAGGAAAAAAAACACTTTTACCGTAGACATCGGGCTCAAGGACTCCTCAACCCTGATTCGTAAATCATGTATTGAAAATCAACAAGCACCAAGCACAGAACAAGCGTGCGTACCTTATAGTAGGCTCCAGCCCCAATAGACAGAATGAATGCTCCAACCATGTGAATCCGCAGACGCCTTGCCAGAAGGCCTCGCATCTGAGGTTTTGCCAAAGCACCGGAAGACATGGCGGCTCTTCTCCCTGCCAGGTAAAATAGCAATAAAAGAAAATCCTGAGTAAAATAAAGAACTTACATTTTAGTACCTGGAGAGCCCCAGACAGTGGACATGGGATGTTTTCTGGCTTAGCTCCATCTTTTACTCTCTCATGTTAAAAGACCGACAAACTGGAGCCCAACGTAAAGGATCAACATCTACAAATACAAATCCCTCCCAACCACCAAAGAGAAAGGACGCTTCTAAGGTAGTGTTTCTAAGTACAAATGTTTATTATTAACTCCAACTCATTCAATCTTCAAGACAGCTGTTCACTCTTGTGACCACAGGGGTACATGCCAGTTGACCACCCCCCAGCATTATCCTGGTCCCTAGCATCATTCTTGAGCCTAATATTGCAGCCATTAGTAAGTCAATCCACCTAGTAAGGAAGTCTTGAGTTCCAGTCTCCTCAACCACCGTTCTCAGGAGCGCTCTGAATACACATTTGCCCAGACAGATCTGTTCGTTTTTTCTGGCAGTTCACAGTGTAATTACTATTCTTCACCAACATCCTAATTCAAAAGGCATCGATTCTCCTCCGGTGTCCGGCTGCCACCATTAAAAGAACACCGTGGCCTGTGTTAGGCACACCTAAGTCCTCCAAGTGACAGCTGTGCTTTCTCATGCTTGCTCAAAGGGGTCTTCTGCAGACGTCCCACTGGTTTCCGGACGGGTGCTTGCGGGTCCCGAAACGCTGACGCCTTCATCTCTCCTCCGTCGCCCGAGGGCGAGTTGGGCTTTCTTCAAGTCCGCGGTCTCGGACCTTCACTCCCCGCCGAGGGCTTCAAGGACGCGGCTACGGTAAACGTCACCGTCTTCCGGACGAGTGCCGTCCTCGTGGCCTACGCAACGTTCCCAAGGTCACTCGAAAGGCTGCAGCGCGGACGGGAGTCCAGGCGACGAGGCGCCGCCGCCCGGCCTCGAACCCGGCCCCGCCCCCCGTCGCCCCCCGCGGCGGGCGGGGCCCCCGCACCTGCCCACCCGCCTCACTCCCCGCCGACGCGGGCACTGCGGAAGGGCTCGGGAAGAGGCGCTCGCCCGCTTTTCGGGGGTCAACCCTGGGCTTAGGTGGCCAAGTGACCCGGCCAAGGTCACTGAGACTCGAAAAGACAAGCTGGGACGCGGCGCGGGGGCGGGGGCGGTCCGAAGGTCCTCGACGCGGGAATGCGGGATCACGCCTCAGTCCCGGGACGCGCAGAGGGATGTCGGGGGGAGGCGGCAGTTGGTGGGAGCAGAACGCGAGGAAACGCCAGACACCACAACTCACCTCTCCACAGACTTCCTTCCCGACCCAAGCAGAAATGGACGGCGCGCGAGCAACGCGCAGGCGCAAGGTAGGTTGGGGGGGGGGGTGAGATCGGTACGGTGGCTGACGAGGCTCCAAAGCCTTCGAGCGCGCTCACCGGTTTCCCAGCGTTGTTGGTCTGACTTGGCCCCTCTGAGTTGGAAAGAAAAGTTTGAATTCCTTAAACCTAATGCTGCTGAGATGATTCCAACTCATAGCCATCTATAATAGAGCCTCGCACGGCCTCACAATGTCTCCGCGGCTATAAATCCCCACAGACGCAGAGCAGCGAGGGAATCCAAAGCCAGCCTTTGCGGTAGCTGGAGAGTGCTTTAACCACTGCACCACCAGGGCTCCTTCCATTACCATCACGGAAATTCCTGGAAACTAGATGACAGTTCTGCTGAAGCACGGCGACGCTGTCTGTCTCAGAAGCCCGAGGGGGCCGTTCTAAGCTGCCCTGCAGGGTGGCTGAGTGAGATTCGCTCATGGCCGTGAATTTTTCATGCGACAAGTCATTCCACGCTGGCCTACAGGGTTGCTATGAGTCAGAAGCTATTCGTAGACAAGGGGTTTGGCTTTGGTTTAATTTATTCCCACTTCCTCTCCACCCAACAGAACCCTTGTGGTATAAGGAGGTTGGGCTGCTAGCCACAAGATCAGCAGTTCAAACCCAGCAGCTGCTCCGAGGGACAAAGGCGAGACTGTGTTCCTCACATAAAGATGGACAGTTTGGGAAACCCACAGGGGCAGTTCTCCTCGGCCCTGCAGGGTCACTCTAAGTCAAATGTCACTGGAGACAGTGGCTTTGGCTTAGTTCTCTCCATTTCTGTCGCCTCCCCTACCCTCCCATCCCCATCGTTGACCCAAAGACCAAAAACCCAGAAACACTAAGCCCACTGGCATCACGTCAACAGAGTAGAATTGCTCCACAAACCGTAAATCTTTGCAGAAGCAGACTGGCACTTCTTTCTTTAGCTGAGTTCAGACCACGGACCCTAACCCATGGCGTCCCAGGACGACTGTGTGCTAGGAATACTTCAGGGGAGAGACGGACAGTGAACGGAGAGCTGAACCCCAGGAACACAACCCAAACCAAACTCACTGCCAGCGAGTGGACGCCGACCCGGTGACCCACCGGTCAGGGCAGAACTGCCCCGTGAGTGGTGGAGACTGTAACTCTTTATGGGAGTAGCCTCCTCTCACCTGGTGGAGCAGCTGGTGGTTTTGAACTGCTGACCTAGCAGTGAGCAATCAGTCTGAAAGACAGCATTGGTTAGGAGAACTTGGCAAAAGACCCTCTCCGGATACAGAACCTGGAATGTTGAGGGCTGTTTCAGATCCATGGACGGTTTAGAAAGCGCAGGGCTCATCCCGGGAACCCAGTGTGTTAGCATGTACATTCTAAATGCTTGGCTGTGGCTTCCGGTGACAGCTTCACTCCATGTGCAATCGTGACCTAAATCCAGTCTCCACTTGAGTGCTGACAACGGGCACAAGTCAAACAGCCCTGTCCTGAAGCAGGGGCAGTCTTGGCCTCAAAGGAAATTGGGGTGCCAAGGCTTCAGGGTCAGGGAGTCATAACCCAACCAAGAGGGTAGGAGAGCACCAGAACCAATCCTGTAAACTTTTCAAATCTGCAATAATGGATGCATCCCAATCCTGGTTCCCCAGTGCCGCCCCTCCCTCACCATCACACACACTCTGTAGTCCCATGGATTGGTCTGCTGCCAATCAAGATGGTGCGATTCCCTTTGTTTTCCCACGGTCTAGAATAAGCCACGTGACCAGGAATCTTTCAGAGACCACTCAGGCCTCAGCCAATCAATTGTCTCCTGCATCAAGATGATCTGTCTCTGCCCTGTTCTCAGCAGAATAAAAAGTCTCTGTGACATATATTTAAATTCGGCACCTTTTGTCCCCACCCCCAGAACACCACAGCGAATTACAGAAGGTGACCCACTAATCGAATTTGAATGCTCCTGGTGAATGAAGGCTGAATGGGACAGTGGTGCAGTGTGACTGCTAACCCAAAGGTCTGGGGTTCAAACCCTCCCAGCAGGCCCTCAGAGGAAAGACGTGATGACATGCTCCCTGAAAGATTTCAGCCTAGAAAACCCTCCAGGGCAGTTCTACTTTGCCCTGTGGAGTTGCTACCAGTCAGAATCAGCAGTATAGCAATTAGAGACACAAGATAGCATGTGCCAGTTCGTTTCTAGGGCCTCTAGCTCCACTACATTCTAACTGGTAGATGACTTAATCTCCCTAAGTCTACTTTCTCTGCTTAAAAAAACAAAACAAAGATATAGTACTCGTGTAATTGGGTTGTCTGCACATTGAACGTGAAAGGGTGTACAGGAGGGCTTTGCAACATTCACTGACAAAGTCTGTCGTTTAATTCCATTTTCCCTTGGACTTTTTGGAAGCCCGTTTCTATGTGGCTGTGGCTAACGGTCATCAAGGGGGCTCTCACTCCTACTGTGGAAGGAGACGTTGCCTGGGCCTCCGCCACTGAATGCTGGTACCTGGTCTGCTCTTGGGGATGCTTGCTGTGAATCCTTTGGTGTGGCCTGAGGTCTTCGAGCTCAGAAGGCTCATCTTCCAGCACTGTATCAGATAATATTGCAGCACTAGATCACACACACATGTTCCCACATCCCAGCTGTTATTGTTTGCTGTAGGGTTTCCATGGGCTAATTTTCAGAAGCAAATTGTTACCCTTTCTGCCCAGTCTTAGTCTGGAAAGCCTACTGAATCCTGCCTACCCTGGGTGACCCTATTGATCATTGACATACCAGTGGCATGGCTTCCAGCATCCTAGCAACATGCACGTTGTCCTAGTACAACGAAGTGACAGACTGGTGATGGGGGCTGGTGAAATGATGCTATCATTTCTTCTCAGGGGCTTTGTTCTTGACTGGGCACATGCACAAGGCAGCATCTGGAAATGGTCTGCTGCACTCAGCACAGTTGGAGGTGATGTGGAAGCTTGCTGGTTCTGCATCCCAGAGAGGCATTCGCTCCCTCCCTCCCTGTCACTGGTGCTGTCTGGCACCATGAGGCTGGAAGAGAGAACTGCTTGTGGTGCTAAGCCTGACAACTGCAGCACTGTCCCATGTCCAAAGAGAGTTGTCAGCAATTGATGCCAAACGAGGCAGCCAGGAGAAGTCCAGCATTTTTCTCAAACATAACCACTGAAAGTTACCTAAACCAAAACCCCTGCATTGGATGGCATCCTTTCCGATTCAGAAGGGAACTTCTTCCTAGGGTTTGCAAGACTTTGAGATCATTACAGAAGCAGCTTGCCTCATCTTTCGCCCGTGAAACCTTTCTTAACCTTTTGCTTAGCAGCTGAGGATATAAGACACGGAGCCACCAAAACTACTTAGAAGTTCCAGATAAATTCTTAAGCCAACTGGACCATGAAGGAGGACCTGCATTTCACATCATAGATGCTCGATAGAGACAGTAACGGATCTAATGGTTTGTTGGGGGATATGGCAGGAGAGGTTGGGAGGAAGCGGGAAGCTAAGAAGGAGCACAAGAAAGAAGAAAATGACGAAAATGACTTCAATTGATTGTGGTGATGATTGTACAACTCTTCTTGATGCGATCAAATCTTGGCTTGTGTGATATGTGGATTATGTGCCAATGAAACTGTTTTTAACCATAAAATAAAATCTTAAATGTTAAAGTGGTACTGTCCAATAAAAATATCATGCTATACATTCAGGTAGATTTCTCCAAATTCTCTAGTAGCCACACTTATTTTAAAGTAAAAAGAAAAAGTGAGGTAATTTTCATATTAAGCCCAATGTAGTCCAAACTATTTCAACATGTAAGCATTAAAAAACATCACTAGTAAATGTTTTATATTTTGTTTGTCATACCAAGCCTTAACTGAAAGATACCTCGCGATCTAAGCTCAGTTCTAGGCCTAAAACAAGCTTCAAGTCTGAACATAATACAGGTGCAGAATGCTGGCCCTTTAGGGTTAGGGCACCACAGGGCCTGGCCTGGACATCCAGGAGTTCAGCACCAATCTCAGTTATCTAGTGCTGCTTTAACAGAATTACCACAAGGGGATGGCTTCAGCAAACAAAAATTTATTTTCTCACAGTTTTAATAGACCATTGTATAGTTCCATTTTTCCGTGAACTTTTTGAAGCATCTTTGTATGTATATATGCATATAGTTATATGTGTGTGTATATAAAATATGCATATATACATATATAAACACACATAATGTATGTGTGCATTATGCAAATATATCTCTAACATTTAAAATTGTGGTTGGGTGAAAATTTAGAGACCTAATTCGCTTTCCATTCAACAATTTATGAACATTTTGTTTCGAAACGAGCTGCAGACCCCTCCCCATTACCCCCTTTCTTCCTGCTTCCTCCCTGGGATCCCCATTTCCTTTCGCCCCTTCCAGCCAGCTGAGGTTTGTTTTGATGTACATGTTGTCCTTTTGGCCACTTCTGGTTGATGGTTCTGAGAAGCACGCTCCTCACAAGTGTCACTGGTCTTTTTTTTTTTTTCATCCTGTCTGTTGTTTGGCTGCAAGGTGGTACCGAGTAGGTTCAATTCTAGGCTTGAAAGTATTTTGCAAAATCTTTTCACATCTGTGCTCTCATTTCATCCTCTCAACAATCTCATGAAATGAACAAGAAGTCTTGCTGTTCAAAGAAAAGTTCTAGGGGCCTACCACTAGACTCTTTTTTTTTTTAACACTACTAGACTCTTATAATCCCTAGCACACACCACACACAGACACACACATATGTATGGCACATGGCTTTAAAAAGGGGCTGCCATCCTCAATGTCTGAAGTTCAAAACCACCAGCCACTCACATGGGCGTGGTCTTTCTACTCCCATAAAAAGTTACAGTCTTGGAAACCCACAGAGGCAGTTCTACCCCATCCTATAGGGTCACCAAGAGTCGGCATTGACATGATGGCAGTGAATTTAGAGTCTTTTGGAGCCCTTGCAGTCATGCCCCCAAATCAGGAGATCATTTCTAACCTTC